TATAAAATGGGGATTAAAATTTTCCATCTCATAGTTTTAAGAGTGTATATGTGTATGTATGTGTGTGTGTGTGTGTGTGTATGCTTAGTGCAACACATGACACAGATAAAAACTTTACAAATGACAATTATAATCTAAAAAATTTAGGTGGTAGTTGCTATTATTTATTAGACCCATTTTATAGATCAGGAATCTGAAAATCTATTTGAAGAAGATAAGTAAGCTGTCCAAGGCCGTGTAGACAGAAAGTAGTGGAGGTGAGATTCCCAATGAGATCATTTGATTCCAGGGCATGTAGCAAAACTTCTGTGTGTTGTTAGCTCATAGCAACTCATTTCCTGCACTGTCTTTGCAGATCTAAACTGAGCTAATAGAGTAGCAGAAATCATGCATTCAAGTATTGTGGATATAATTGACTCATTATGATGTCAATGTTCTGGTTTATTTAACAGATCTACTCATTATCTCATCAATGTTGAGGTCCTGCTCAAAAAAGAGGGTGGAACTCCCTCATTTAATCACCAAGTTGGGAAAAAAAGGCCTTTGTAGACTGAAGTCTGGCCTTTTATTTCAGTTACTTCAAAAGACATCTTCAAATGACATCTTGGGTAGTTTTTGGATGGTTGAAGTTTTCCAGTATTTACACATTGAAATCCACCTTGATTGTCTGTTGTCTCTCTTGGAAAGCGCAACATTAACATTTCTTTATTTGTAGGTATAGCACCTGGTTTCTTAAATATGCATCCACTGAGGATTAATCCTTCAGTAATAGGACCAAGCAAAATAATAACTAAAAACCACTAGTCTATACAGTATTTTCAGAAATACAGTATTTGTCAAATAAATATTCATTTCTTTAAAATCACTGTGACTCCAATGGTTATATCTTAAATCCATATATCATGAATAACAAATACCACATGAGCATAATATTTGACTAAAAGTTGAAACGACTTAAGCACAATAAATTTTGAATAAAGACTGAAACTTTTAGAGGAGTTCCAAGTTATTTAGCAAATCATTTTTCTCAATAAAATTGTTATATTATAAAGCTTCATTTCCCAGTTACCTTTTTTTAAAGACAATTTTTAGAGCAGTTTTAGTTCACAGCAAAATTGAGAGGAAATGATAAGGATTTCCCATATACGGTCTGTTCCTCCACACACACAGCCTCCCCCGTTATCAACATCCCCCACCAGAAGGTACACTTGTTATGATTGATGAACCTACACTGACATGTTATAATCACCCAAAGTCCTTAGTTTATATTAGGGTTCACTCTTGGCGTTGTACATTCTGTGGGTTTGGACAAATGTATAATGAGATGTATCCAGCACTATAGTATCATACAGACTATTTTCACTGTCCTAAAAATTCCCTATGCTCTGCCTATCTATCCCTCCCCCTACTACCCTCAACCCCTGGCAACAACTGATCTTTTTACTGTCACTGGTTCAAAATTATTTAAGCAAATTATTTCTCTCAATTAAATTGCTAAATTCCAAAACCTCATACTTGGGGTTTCCCAGTTACTTTTTAAAGCAATTCCTTATGAGGTTCCACATTCTGATTTTTCATATTATTCTATGTCATATAAATGTCAGTGTGCTGCTTCTTTTTCACTTACTATGACAATATTTATGTCATAAATTGCTTAAGCTATGCATAATGTAGACACCAGAAATCGAGAGTTTGGGGGGGTGACTTTGGGTCATTTCATTAGTCCATTCTCACACTACTATAAAGAAATGCCTGAAACTGGGTAATTTATAAAGAAAAGAGGTTTAATTGATTTACAGTTCTATATGGTTGGGGAGGCCTCAGGAAACTTACAACCATGGCAGAAGGCACCTCTTCACAGGGCGGCGGGACAGAGAATGAGTGCCAGCAGGGGAAATGCCAGATGCTTATAAAACCATCAGATTGGCTGGGTTTGGTGGCTCAGGCCTGTAATCCCAGCACTTTGGGAGGCCAAGGTGGGTGGATCACTTGAGGTCAGAAGTTTGAGACCAGCCTGGCCAATATGGTGAAACCCCATCTCTATTAAAAATACTCATAGGAGCATGGGACCATCACTTTACCACTGTGTGTTGGTAAATGCAATATGCTAACTGGCTTAAGCTTAACTGTGTATGTTATCTATTCCAGTGCCACCCTCAAGTTCATGGGCTATAAATAGGAGACAGGAGAATTCACAAAGGCCCTTATAGATATGATAAATAACCTGGCTACCAAACAGTAAAAACTTTATCCTTTCTTCTTTACACTTTGTCATGAGAATCTTTAATATACCCCTCACCCTACAAGAGGGTCATGAGGTAAAGATGATTATTTCTATATTTAATTTCTGCTAACAGGTACTCTTTAAGGAAAAAAAATGCTCAAGTAGCAGCTCCCAGAATATATATTGTAGAAGTTGGCTAATAGGATTCTTCTGTATTCTTCTGCCACCTGTCATCTTGGGATCTCTCACTATTCATTATCTGGTAGCAGGCCTGCAGTGTACAGATGGAAAAGTCACCCCAGAGGGAAGAAGGCTGTTACACTCTACCCCCCTTCTGGTTCCACTTCTGTGCAGTGCTAATTTAATCAGGCACATGATTCACTCACTCACCTTAAGCTCAAACCAGATCTCATTCTATTTTCAATATTTTAATTTTATTATTCACCCACAAATGTATCCATCTCAGTTTAAGTATTTCTCAACAGTCAGAAATATAAGCTGAAGGATAAGGTCTTCTCTCCTCATTCCTATTCCAATTCTCTCCAGATCATTCCAAGTGCGTTGTAACATAAGTGCTTTGGGCAAAGCATGGTGGCTCACACCTGTAATCCTAGCACTGTGCGAGGCTGAGGTGGGAAAATTGCTTGAGGCCAGGAATTTGAGACCAGCCTGAGCAACATAGTGAGACCCTATCTCTACAAAAATTTTTTTAAAAGATTAGCTACGCTCCCGCTTGTGCCCAGGAATTGAGGCTGCAGTGAGCCATGATCATGCCACTGCACTGTAGCCTGGGCAACAGAGCATGACCCTGTTTCTCAAAAAAGAAAAAAAAATTGTAAGTGCTTTGAAAGGATTAGAAAGTTACCTTGAAACCAGAATTGGGCTCAAGGAATAGCATGCTAACTGGAAATCCAAGTCAATATCCAAAATGGTCCTTTCTAGCAACCCATCTGGAAAACAAAGGCCAAACCAACAGGGAAACTTCAGCAGGTTCACAAGGGGCCAGGTTGGCATATTTGGTTTATCATTCAGAAACTGAAAGCCTTTGGTTTTATTATCAGATCTGTTGTGATCGATCTCAGAGTCTACAGAGGAAAATGTAGGTAGAGAAGTGGAAGCAAGAGAAAGGAAGGCGGTAAAAGCCCAAGTAAGTCAGTAAAATCTGCAATCACTACCTCTGGATAATAGAAAGACCAAAGCGAAGCTTAGGAGGAGGGACTTGAAAAAAAAAAAAAAAAGAACTGGCTGATAGGTATGTTCCACTAAGGTCTCACACAGCTAATTAAAATTCCTTTAGCCACAATAGTGACTGTGGGTAGGTGGGGACTATAATATACTGCTTTTAATTAACCATTAGAACTTAGTCAATAGCACATGAGTCACAGTCTTCATTTAATAATAATAATTATATTTGATTTAGTTATAAAGAAATGCTTAGTTGCACCAGTGAAATTCATACTATATTGATAAATGCTTCAATCTCATTTTCAAGATGAAGATAGAAATATGAAAAAAATGATAAGATTATTTGCTGTCATATATATTCATGGCAAAATGTGTTCTGTTTATCTTCACAATATCCTGATTTATGGGAGTAAGAGAAGAAGGGAGTTGGTGAAATATACAAAATAATAGTAACATCTAACAGCAAAATTTACATGAGACACTGCCATATAAACAACATTTTGAAAACATCACTCTTCAAAGGGAGTCTCCTGCATGATAAACACTTTTATGTAGAATCAATAACTTCTTGAAGCACCGAAAATTATTTTAGATATTCTCAGGATATAGGAAAGAACAAAATCAGGTTCTCCTACCACACTCTCACAGTACAGAACACTTTTGACATCAGATATGGGGTTTTATTTATTGCTCACACACCAAGCAAGCAAACAATTTTGCAGCGGACACCAGCTGGGTGTCCTCTAACTCAATTTGATTCTGACACTATCTACCTGGAGAGAGTGACAGATCCTAAAAATTAAGGACTTAGTCCCACAAGACCGCCCCCACCTCTGATGCCAATCACAAGTAATAGGTTGTCACCTACACTTCTGACTGATTTGCTATATATTGGGTTTCCTACTACTCCCTCCTCAGGTTCAACTTTGCTGGAGTAGCTCACAGAACTCAGTGAAACACTTTACTTACATTTACTGGTTTATTATAAAGGACATTACAAAGAATACAGATGCAGAGATGCATAGGGCAAGGTATGGGAGAAAGAGTGTGGAGCTTCCATGCCCTCTCCAGTTGTATTATCCTTCAGGAACCTCTACTTGTTTGACAATCCAGAAGCTCATCCAAATTCTGTCCTTTTGGAGGCTACATTACTAAACATAATTTATTAAATCATTGGCCATGGGTGATCAATTTAACCTCCATCCCCTCTCTCCAGCCAAGAGGTTTTGGGGTAGGGCTAAAAGTCCCAGCCCTACAATTATGTCTTTGTTTTGCCTGTGAGCAGCCCCCACATCCTGAAGCTACCTAGGGACTGCCAGCCATGGGTCAACTGATTAGCAAAGAAAAAGACACTTACCACTTTGGAGATTCTGAGAATTTTAAGAGTTGTATACCAGGAAACAGAACTGTATTTCATAATATTACAGATAAATTATTTTTCTTTTTTCAGGAATACAAATTGCAATTTTATTAAAAGTTAATCATGCACATTTTAAAACTCTTTGCGTATTTATAATTTATTCTGAAATCAGTCCCCTGAAGCATAGGTATTATTTTCTCCATTTCACCATTGAAAAATTGGAATACTCACTCAAGATTTTATAGTTAATGAGTGACACAGCTAGAGTTTGAACGCAGATATTTTCGACTGCCATGCCAGGGTTCTTTGCCGTTAATGGTTCTCTGAGAAAAGAAGGTAACCCTTAATCAATTATGAGTTCTTATCACAGATATATTCTAAAATTCCGTTAGAACCTGTCAAATACAATAATGAAAGTTATATTTTAATACATTTCAGTTTACATGTTATATATTAGCTAATTGAGAAAATTATTTCTAGAAGAAAAATAGAATGCTGTGTGGATTTTTAAGTAACTAATATTTTTAAATGTCTCATTGTAAAGTTTCACATCTACAAATAGCAGTTTTTAAGTCTTGCTATCTATTTACCATGAAGATATTAATTCTTTCTTTCTGTGAAGTTTTTAATAGTCATGGAATATATAATTGAAAAGTTTTACCATCTAAAGCTGCTCTTCATATATCTTCAATTTAATGAGAAACATTATTGCACATTTTTCACATGCAATTAAACCAATAGTTTTTGAATGCCTACTATTGAGGAAACAAATTACTCGGGGTTGTGGGAGACACAAGAGCTTTCTAGATGCCTAAAAATTGGTGTGAGAAAACAGACAATTACATAAATAACACTTAAAACAAGGCAATGCTATAATAGAACTGCCTTTATTTAAAAACTAAAGTATTGTAAATAATATTGCTGCATTTGAAGTAAAAGTAACTTTAAATGTTAATTTTTCTAGTTGGCCATTAATATTGTAGTTAATTGCCATACTACCTTCCATTAAGGGCTTCCAGAGAATTTTTCTAGTTGGCCATTGTAATTAACTACAATATTAATGGCCAACTAGAAAAATTCTCTAGAAGCCCTTAAATGGAAGGTAGTATGGTATAATGCAATGATTATCAAACACAAATGTGTGCCAGAATCAGAGAGGGCTTATTAAAACACAACTTGCTGTACCCCACCTCATACTTTCTAATTCAATAGGTTTGAGGTGAGGTCTAACAATATGCATTTCTAGAAAGTTTCCAGATGATGCTGCTGCTGGTCTGGGGGTCACACATTAAGAACCAGTGGAGAGTGTGGGTTCTGGTGCCAGACCACCCAAGTCTAAATCCTGGCTCTAAGTAATTAAAGCACTCTGGCAGAAACTGCTAGACAATTACCAAACTTTCATTCTCTTCTTATTCCCATCCTCCTCTGATGTTTAGTGTGGATCTGTGATTGACAGCCAAGGAATATGAGCAAAAGTGATGTGCATCACTTTCAGGCCTGACTCCTAAGAACTCCCACACACATCTTTCATGCCCTTCCCAGCACTTTTGGCTTGTGCCAGATGAGCATGGTAAACTTGGAAGCTGTAAGTTTCCATAGGAGAGCCACAAGATGGTAGCAACATGAAGCAACACTTGGAAGAGAGCTGCTTGCCAAACAGTAACATCTATTTGGGCTTTATATGACGGGGAATTTGACCTGTTCTTCTTGGTATCCCTGTTATCTAGCATGCTATCTGAGACACAGTTGCTCAGTGAAAATAATTGTTGAGCTGTTAAAGAAAACCTTTTAAAGGAATAGATCAGTGTAACAGTGCACACAATTGGATATAATAAATTCCACCTCAGTGTAGAGTATTTTAATAAAACTACAAAGTTACCAATGAAGGGTTATATAGAAACTATTCCTCAATAGGCAAAAGGTTAGGGACGATTACCTCTAGGGACCCTTCCAAATATAATATTCTATATTATCCCCTAAATTTAAATGACTAGGAGGTAGCTTCTGGGAGCTATATCTTTTTTCTCAGTTCCATTATGTTCCACTCCTTTTGTTTTCTTCTTTTCCAAATATTTCATCTTTCCTTGTTAATCATTCAGCATTTGTAGAGCATGTAAAATATGACCAGCCCTGCCCACATGGTGCTTCCCATCTAGTTGGGGAGGGGGCTTGTGAAACAACACATTTGAAACAATTAGTAAGCAATATAAAGAGATCATTAAATGCTCTGGTAAATAGTTGTTGAGTGAGTTGCTTCAAATGTGTAATTTGTGCACATTAAAAGCATACAGCCAGCTGGATGGGCAATCAAAAGGCTAAAATTCAACTTGCTTTTCTGTTGATAAGCAGTGCAAACGTGGGAAAGTCATTTAGCCTTTCTCTCTTTTATAAGATAAAAACAACAATTCTGTCCAATTAACTAGGGAGCAGAGTGACAAAGATTTGATTCACGAATTAGAAAGCATGATACCTTAGAATAGAGTACTCTATTTTGGAAGCTTATGTTCCAATTAGTCTTTACTTGCATTGCTTATTTTCTTTCTATATGTAATCAGGATTTTTGCTGTTACTGACAGTTCATTTAAGAGTTCTTCTTTCCATCTGGGTGCAGCACCCAGAAAACTGGCTGTCTTTGATTGTGTTGAAAAAGCACAATAAGGCTCTGGCCCTCCACGGCAAAGAATATGATCATAAGTTTGGACTTATGGCCCCTTCAGCAGCCAGTTGTCACTGCTGGCTGTTGACCTGCCACCTGCTTGAGCTCAGGGTAGAGACAGGAGACTCAAATGCTTCAGCAGGATTTTTTTTGTCCAACTGAAGATGACTAAGTTGGAGATTACATTTCAGGAGCATTATTTCATATTGTGGCAGATACACTAAATATTCTTTCATATCTGAAGGGATAGCAAAGAAAAGTTACAAAGAGGAACATTTAATGTTTTTGAAATGCCATAATATGATAATCATTGATGTGAAATTGGGTAAGTTTGCCCTGACTAGCTAAACTTCTCCCCTGCCAGCTGTAAATGCTGCCTCCAGCTGCATTCTTTTCATGAGGAAACTGTTTGAGTTTTGTTCATTTTATCGGACTCATTTTAAAAGCATTTTCAAAATGTTTTCCACTGGTTTGGTTTTGAAGATTTCTTGCATCTGTAATATATTTCTTACATTTTTTTCTCCAATTAGACTCTTTGAAAAAGAAATGAATGAAAAGTTCCATTTCAGCTTTTCCAAAAGTTTGACTCTGTTTCAGATGGCCTCTTCAACCTCTATGAGAGGTTTGACAACCTAACCCACTTTGAATAATGTCTTCAAACCAGGGAATTAGAGGATTCTCACTTTAGATGTGAAATTCTCAATTAAAAACAAAATAATTGGAGACAAATAAAACTTCCTAGCCTTGTCTGAAAATTATTTAGAAAGTATACCCTACACTTTTTTGCACTAATGACAACATAGCATATGGCACACAGTAAAAACTATATTAATATTTGACTTAAATTAGTGTTGATCGATTTACCAGATTTTGAATGGTGTTTTCTCCTTGAATTTCCTGATAAACAAAGTAAAATAATATTTCCTCAATTCTTATAATTAACAATCTTTGTATATTATATGTATTGTGTACTTATTCTATCAATTACTTGGAGAGGTTAAAACATCTTTAATTATGCTTCTGGATTTGTTTGTTTCCCTTGAGTTCTATCAGTTTTGCTTCATATATTTTTGAAACTCTGTTATTAGGTATATATATATTTTTGGATCATTATACCCTTTTTGGTAGATTGACCCTTTTATTACTATGAAATTACCCTCTATCTCTAGTATTACATCTTATCTTAAAGTCTACTTTGCCATTAATGTAGCAAACCAGACAATGTAGCCACACCAGACTTCTTATGCTTAATGTTTATATACTGTATCTTTTTCCATCTTTTAACTTTCAATCTATCTGTGTCATTATATGTAAAGGACATCTTTTTTTGTTCAGGGTAAATAAAGTTTAATTTCTCATTTTACATCCATAACTTTAAAAATATGTTCCGTTTACTACTGCAGCAGTTGTTAAAAAGGACCTGCCTGAACTTTTCCAGAAAAAAAAATTTAAGAAATATTGTCACCTTTTTGGTACTTTATGTTTTTCGTTTATTTATTTATTTATTTATTTTGAGACAGGGTCTCACTCTGTTGCCCAGGATGGAGTATGGTAGTGCGATCTTGGCTGACTGCAGCCTCTGCCTCCTGGGCTCACACTATCCTCCCACCTCAGCCTCCTGAGTAGCTGAGGCTACAGGCACACATCACCATGCCTGGCTAATTTTGTTTATTTTTTGTAGAGATGGGGTCTCACTTTGTTATCCAAGCTGGAAAGGACATCTTTTATAAATGGCTTACAGTTGGATCTTGCTTTTTTATTCAATCTGCCTATTTCTGCCTTTTAGTTGGAGTGTTTGGTCCCTTTACATTTAATGTAATTACTGGTATGTTTGGATTTAAGCCTACCATCTTGCTATTTGATTTTTGTCTCATTTGTTCTTTCATCCTTGGTTCGATAATTGTCCTTTGCATTGCAAACTGAATGAAGTGTTCTTAGCCCAAGAACAAAGACTCGGGGAAGAAAATTAAGTATCTAATTGTTCTGTGTTGTTAACTTAGCTAGAGAGGAGGGACTTTTTCACAAATGTTGTAGTTCATGCCTTCAATACTTCAGTGTGCATATAATTCACTCTAGAATCTTGCTAAAATGCAGATTATGACTCAGGAGTTCTTGGGTGGGGCCTGAGTGTCTGTACTGCTAACTCATTCACAGGTGATGCTGATGTTGTTGGTCCAAAGCTCTAAATTTGTAGTCAACTTTCATCTTCTCATTGCCCATCCATCGATTCCACCTGTGTCTCAGCAGATCTTGCGGTGAGAATGAGTTGAACCAGTTTTTCAGAACTCTTCACAAAAGTAAGGAGATTGACTTTAAAACAACTTTTAAGAGTTAATAAAAATAACATTGAGGTAAACACAAAGTAGAAAGATGTCCTGGTAAGAATGGGTCAAAGGCACTTGAGATTCAATTAAGGAAAGAAAACCAATCTCTTTTGTATGGCATTCAGATGTAGAGAAAATAAAATATTATTAGAGATTGTTTGGTAAAGAGTTATTCACTTTTTCTTGGTGCAACCTCTGGATGAAATCTATTCCCCAGGATACCAAGAAATATCCTCCACTCAAGATGTTTTACTTTTTATTGAATTTAGTTGCTTGCTCAAGGATGTAAACATAAACAGACAATGGTACTCTTAATCATTTTAATCCAAGAACCTGTTTGGCCCCTGTCTTCCAATTTTAGAATCTCTTTCAGCAAAGTTCTGATTGTTAAAGATGAAGCGTACTTAGTCTTTTCAAACTGCTACATCCACACAGAAAGAAGTGATGTACTCTTCCCCAGTCTGCTATTGGTGTCTTTAGATGCCCATTTTCACAGATACCATCCAGTGCATTGATAACCATTGATTATTTTATAGGCAAATTCAAGGTTCTTAATTATGAATATGCATTACACAGACAATGAAAGAATCCCAGACAGAAGGACAGCCACCTAACAAAAAGTAACCAAAGTTATAGAAGGGATGTAATACAAAGCTGATAGCAAATGAAGTCGATGGTTGTTGTTCTCATTTACCTTTATACTGTTGAAGGCTGCTCATGCACATCTCTTCTTTATCAAATGACAGCTATAAAAGGAAAATTGTGAGAAGTAAATGCTTCTTTCTACCTATTTTTTCTACCCACTACTATTTCTCCTACTATTCTTTTATTCTTTCAGAGTTTGCTTTAGCATAATTATTTGATCAGATTCTTTGTTACTACTCATTTTTACAGACCCAATGGCTACTACAGTGACATGACATAATTGATACTTAATAAATATTTGCTAAATGAATAAATGAGTATATTACATATATGGTAATTCATTATTTAAACCTCTTTACTACTTTTCCTGACTCACTAAGAAAATGGAAAAAATGTACATTGACATTTAAACACATATGTACACTGTAAAACTGGAATGAGTAATCAATCTATTTGGTTTTTATTCAGAGTAGAGGATAAAAATGCACTTCTTTTTCTTAATTTTCTGAATACCAAGACCAGTGAAATGATTTCTTATACTGAGCAGAATCTCTTAAATTTATTTGCCTCAAGAAGTAGTTAATCAAGCCAGGCGCAGTGGCTCATGCCTGTAATCCCAACACTTTGGAAGGCCAAGGCAGGTGGATCATCTGAGGTCAGGAGTTCAAGACCAGCCTGGCCAACATGGTGAAACCCCATCTCTACTAAAAATACAAAAATTAGCTGTGTGTGGTGGCACACACCTGTAATCCCAGCTACTTGGGAGGCTGAGGCAGGAGAATTGCTTGAACCCGGGAGGCGGAGGTTGCAGTGAGCCAAGATCACACCATTGCACTCCAGCCTGGGTGACAAGAGCGAAATTCTGTCTCAAAACAAGCAAACAAACATACAAAAAAAGAAGTAGTTAATCAAATAGAAAAATGTTTTCCTAATTTAAAAATAAAAATTGAATCTTACTTATCTAACTTTGGAACTCCTGGTACTCTGAAGCCTTTACTATTTGTGGTGGACACAGTGATGTGCCACCCTGATTCTGCTTCAGTAAAGGGCTTGTTGTCTCAGCTGTTGGCAGTACTATTAGCAGGCGGCCTTCAGCTCTCAGCCCCTTCCCACTTGCCTCAGCCACAAAAAGTCATCTGACCCAATGTCACAACCCTTACCCAATGATCCACATCCAGTGACCAGTCATTGCGAGGTTAAAATGACCTAACAATCTTGTCCCAACTTGGAACAACTCTGAAGGGCCATTCTAGTTTTAGAGCTCTCTCTAGAGTCAGCCATGGGTATCTTTTGACTTGTCTTGTACTTCAACTTCTCCCTCTCTCCAAGCTCTGCTTCCTTCCCCTAATACCCTAAGGGCACTCCCTAATAACTATTTTGCATGTTAAACTTCATGTCAAAGTCTGCTTCCTGAGGAGTTAAACTATGATAATATGATTTCCATATTCTTTTTTATACACAATAGAAAAAATGTTTAAAGTATCCACCGAGGACAAATTGCTGTATTTTGTGGAGTCTACTGTTTGAAAGGACACTTGTGTTGGGTCAGAGCTGCTTAACAAAAATCCATGTTGCCAAGGTTACTGCTACTATTTTTACTGTTACTTTTTGGTTTCATCATTGTGTTCATGGTGCAGGGGAGTGGGCTGGGAGTCACAATGCCATGGTGATTCTCCAGCAGTGAGAATCACCATTTGAGTTGTTTCCTTGTACAACAGGGTTAGAGTCGGTGATGCAGTTACCAAGTTGACTCTTCTCCAATCATGCTGACATGAGCTAGGATCTGGAAATTTCTTTCATCCCTGGAGAAGATATGTGGTGTCCAGAAACGTAACTTTGAAAGATCAACCTTAGAAATTCTCTCTGAATTACTAGGTCATCCCATCACCAGTCCTGGGGCTCAAGCCTGCTTGCTTTGTGGTCTTCCTTGCCAAAATTATTTCTGTATCTTTTTTTATGATATGCTGATAACTTCAGGTAGACAGGGTTGGGGAGAGGTCTCTATGGTGAGAGTTCTTTGGTTGTCTCCGTGGTGATCCCTACATAGGTAATAAATCCACAACTTAATTTTATTTCTTATCTTGAATTTTATTTCTTATCTTATCTTACCACTGGCTTCAGCTTTGGAATGTGTGTGGGAGAAACTATTGGGGCTCATACAGTAATTTGTGAAGCAGCTTGTGCCAAGCTTCATTGGAGACTTAGTCTCTCTTTTCTATTTCTTTTTCCTTTCTTCAGGAACCCAACGTCCTTATGTGTTTTGTACTCTGTCTCCTCCTGGTTCCTTTATTTAAAAAAACCAAAAACTGAAGCCAAGGTATAAACAAACGATAAAGCAATATATTACCTCCCGCAGGAGATGGCTTTTTAAATGGAAACAAGGTAATGAATCTCTCTAATTATGCAATTTTAGGCATTGAAAAACTATGTGAAATAGGGAAGAATGAGAAGATGTTGAGGAACAAGACCTGTGTACTGACTATTCTGTGCCCTATTTTCCCCATCTGTATTATCTACTTCTGAGGGTTGTCATGTGGGCAAAATGAAATATAACATGTAAAGTGTTTAGAACAGTGTTTGACTTGTCATTTAGCTATTTTTATATTAATATTTATTTTTACTCATTAGGACAATTAAGAAAAGTTTCCTTCTGCATCTTTAACTTGAAGTCTGTTTTTTCCCTTTATGGGGAAGGTATAAAACTTTGCTATTCAAACAGTGGTTCATAGACCAGAAGCATAAGCCACAGACAGGAGCTTGTTAGAAGTGTAAAATATCAAACCCCATTCCAGACCCAATAAAGCAGAATCTGTAGTATAGCAAGACTCCCATGTGATTCTTATATGCATTAAAGTTTGAGCAGTCTTGAATAAGTGTAGTAGTTCAAAACAGAGGCCTTTGAATCAGACAGCCTAGTTCCAATTTACTAGCTTTGGAATCTTGGGCAACTTTCTTAAATTCTCTGAGTCTTAGGTCTTTCATGTGTAAAACCTGGGATAATCACATCTATTTAGTAGGGTTGTTGTTAAGATGAAATGGAAAAATATGTAAAGCACTTATTGATGCGCCTGTTGGGCAAATACCAAGTGTGTGATGAATTGTGGCTATCACTGCTCTCAAAAGAAGCTGTGAGCTTTTGATACATGCAATTTCAAGCCCCCAAGGGCAAAGAATTTGACCTCATTCAATGCAGGATTTTTCATACATTCACATATTTTTAAAGATACACAAGGAATGTTAGGACTATCTTTGATAAATCAAAAGAAAAAAAACAGTTAGGTTTATTTGTATTGGACAAATTCTGCCTGTTTGGGCCTTCCACTGCCTTGCTGGGTAAGATATATTCAGGTTAGACACACAAGTGATCAGTTGGCTATGACATGTGGAAGAAGTACCAGCAGGTCCAGCCAACACATTTGAGTATTTTAGACATAATTCTCTCTGCCAGTGAGAATGGCCAGCTTTTTGGGGGTCTTTGAACCTGAATGTAGTACTTCCAGAAACTTTGGAAACTGGGCTTTGAAGTTTTTGAACTTGAATTGGCAACCACAGGCTCTACATTCTCAAATTCATTTCACATTAATCTCATGGATAAGAGCAGAAGTTCAGGAGCCAAATCATCAGAGTTCAGATTGCATCATTTGTGAAATAAGAAACATTATAACTCCTCTAATTAAGGATGGCTAGGAGAATTGAATGAGATAATCTATGTAAAGAGTTTAGCACATTATCTGCCTCAAAATAACCACTCAATAAAAGTAAGCTTTTGCAAAAAGAACAAAGTTGGAGGCATCACATTACCTGACTTCACAGTATACTACAAGGCTACAGTAACCAAAACAGCATGGTACTGGTACCAAAACAGAGATATAGACCAATGGAACAGAGCAGAAGCCTCAGAAATAACATCACACATCTACAACCATCTGATCTTTGATAAACCTGACCAAAACAAGCAATGGGGTAAAGATCTCCTATTCAGTAAATGGTGCTGGAAAAACTGGCTAGCCATATGCAGAAAACTGAAACTGGATCCCCCTTTCTTACAAATTATACAAAAATTAATTCAAGATGGATTAAAGACTTAAATGTAAACCTAAGACCATAAAAACCCTAGAAGAAAACCTATGCAATACCATTCAGGACATTGGCATGGACAAAGACTTCATGATGAAAACGCCAAAAGCAATTGCAACAAAAGCCAAAATTGACAAATGGGATCTAATTAAACTAAAGAGCTTCTGCGCAGCAAAAGAAACTATCATCAGAGTGAACAGGCAGCCTACAGAATGGGAGAAATTTTTTTCCATCTACCCATCTGACTAAGGTCTAATATGCAAAATTTACAAGGAACTTAAATATATTTACAAGAAAAAAACAAACAACCCCATGAAAAAGTGGGCAAAGGATATGAACAGACACTTCTCAAAAGAAGACAGTTATGCAGCCAAAAAATATTTGAAAAAGCTCAACACCACTGATCATCAGAAAAATAAATGCAAATCAAAACCACAATGAGGTGCCATCTCATTCCAGTCAGAATGGCAATTATTAAAAAGTCAGGAAACAATAGATGTTGGTGAGGATGTGGAGAAATAGAAACACTTTTACACTGTTGGTGGGAATGTAAATTATTTCAACCATTGTGGAAGACAGTATGGTGATTCCTCAAGGATCTAGAAACTGAAATACCATTTGACTCAGCAATCTCATTACTGAGTATATACCCAAAGGATTATAAATCATTCTACTATAAAGACACATGCGCATGTATTTTTATTGCAGCACTATTTACAATAGCAAGGACATGGAACCAACCCAGTAATGCCCATCAATGATAGGCTGGATAAAGCAAATACAACACATATACACCATGGAATACTATGCAACCATAAAAAGGAATGCGATCATGTCCTTTGCAGGGACATGGATGAAGCTGGAAGCCATCATCCTCAGCAAACTAACACAGGAACAGAAAACCAAACGCTACATGTTCTCACTTATAAGTGGGAGTTGAACATTGAGAACACATGGACACAGAGAGGGGAATAACACACACCAGGGCCTGTTGGGGGTTGGAGAGTGAGGGGAGGGAGCTTAGAAGAT